CGTATTCGTTCGGCTGTCCACACAGATGACCTCGTTGAAGAGTGGTCTCGTGACCTTTGCACTGAACGTCGCGCCGAGCTCCGTCGCCACGGCGGAGCATTGCAAGAAGCCGTCGTTTTCCTGTATTCATTCTTGGAGTCGCACCCAGAACAGGACTGTGACATAGGCCCCTTTCGCACTGCCAATGGGCGCTACGGTCCCTACGTGACGACTGCCGCGACGGGCATTGCGAGGTATGCAAAGTTACGGCACGAGACACGTCATCGCGAGGAGAGGGCCGCAGACGATCCCTCCGACGGCCCAGCCTTTCTTGGGGTGGCTTCTACAGCGCCAGCAGGACCAAGCCCTGCTGGCCGCCCAGCTCCACCTGTCCCGCCTAGACCGCCCAACGTCCAAGACGTTCGGGCCAGTGATGATGCCACAGAGTCTCCACGCTCCGCCGGCGGTCAAGCCGCATCGGCGGGTGATGAACTTTCGAGGCGCTCCCCAGACGGGGATGCGCGGGATCAGCCAATGACCGCGCGCGGGCGCGGCGGAGCCATGGCTGCCGGCCGCGGCGATGGCGGCTGGGACCCCATGCACCGGTGGTGGTGGTGGTGGTGGTGGGTACGAGTAGTGCAGAACCAAGCTTCTGGTGGTGGCAGAACTCCGAGTACGGTGAGGTGGTGGGCTTCTGGGTGCACCGTGACCAAGTGCATTGGCTGGCACCCGGGAGTCCGCAAGTCGAGCATGGCACTTTGTGTCCCAGAATGAGTACAACCACTGGTTCCAGAGAGGCCAGGGCAAGGGATACAACAAGAACAAGGACAAGTCCAAGAACGTTCGGCCAGCTCCATATGCTGGCCTTGGAAAAGGAGGCAAGTCTTTTGCGCCTCCTCTGCCAGCCTGGCAGAAGGGAGGCTCTTCATCTTCAACTCCAAGGCCTCCGGCTCCACCATCGCGTTCGCAGTCCTCCTGGCACAAGAAATTAGTGAGGAGGCAAGTCGAACGACCCAGTCGTTTCGGCGTGAGTCGAACGACCCAGTCGTTTCGACGAGAGAGGCCCATTTTGGCGTTGGTGTGATACGTCGGGTTTTCTTCGGCCTTTAGCCCCCTGGCAACCGCCGTTGAGCGGTAAAATGCTTTTGGGGTTCGCTCCGGTGGCTGTAAATATGCACAGGCCGGGCGGGCTGTGGCTGGAGTTGCTCTACGTAGCCCGCCGCGGGGGGAGTAAATATGCCCCTCCCCGCCTCATCATTATGCGCCTCTGCTGCCGCCTTACTTGTAGATCATTGACATTACTTGTATATTGGGGCTGTTTGCTTATCAAGAAAAGGAGCGCGCCAGGGGCGCGCGGGCGGCTCGTGTCGTCGTCCGTCTCTGGCCGGCCTCCTCCCTTCCCATACTTGGTAGCATTTGCTATATGGATAACATATTGTTTCATCGATGCCTCGTCCCAAACCCTCTACCACAGAGCGCATTGTTCACGAGGCCTTAATTCCTTTGGCATCTTACCCCGATTCTCAGAGGAAAGACACTGCCGGGCAGGCCCACGGCGGCCAAGTGGGCCGATGCCAAGTGGGCCGCTCGGGCCCAGGCGGCGCTGGACCCCGGCAATCTGCGTGGAGGCGCAGAGACCCCTTGCCCGCATTCGGCGCGCGCGGCCAGGGGGCGCCGGCAGATTGGCGGGCGCTCGGCGGGCAATGCTCGGGCGCGGGCCCGGCAGCGCGCGCCGCCTGCCCTCCGCCACTGGCTCGGCCCCTCAGGCCGATCTTCGCGCGGGCGAATGGCAAATGCCCAGCCGTGCGTCGGGGGCCGCGCCTCGCGCTGCGCTGGTGGCTCATCGCGTCGGGCGACGGATTGGCGCAGTCGGGCAAGAGGCGCAGCGGCGCGGCGAGCTCCGTGGCGCACCTTCTGCGGCGCGGCTGGCTGCCCGCCCGCGGCGGCGGCCGCGCTGTTCATCGACGGGGAATGCTATTGGGCGAGCGTGCCGCGAGCCGCCGGGAACGGCAGGGCGCGCTCGGGCCATGCGCCCGCGCTTCGCGACCGCGCGCTCGCCGGGACTTCGAGCGCGTTTCAGCCCAGGGAAGACACCCGTATCCAGGGTCTTGACATGCTGAACATCGCCCTCGGTCTGTGCCCGTTCGAATCGGCGATTCAGCGTCGCCAAGTCGTGATTTGGCCGGACTATGCGGGCGCGCAGGCCGCCGCCGGCCGCGGCGCCGCGCGCGCGTTCGATGGCGGGTGCCTGGCGCGCTGCCTCTGGGCCAAGATTGCGCACCAACGCGGCCTCGCCCGCGTGGAACGGGCGCCGACAGACGAGAATGTCGCGGGCGACCCGCTCCGGGGGGATCTCGGGCTGCCGCGGCGACTGGGTGCCGCGCGGGTCGAGCCGCGTCTGGGCGAGGCCTTTTGCGCGCCCGCCTCGTGGGTGTCGATGCTTTCTCGCCGTCAGCGTCAGCGCGCTAGTCTGGCTCGACAGATCGCGCGCGGGCATTGCGCGCAGGATTCCGTCAGTCGAGCAAGGGCGGCGCGCTCGGTGCGCCGCTGCGCGCGCCATCCCAGTCACCTCCCGACCCCTGTCAATCCGCGGCTGGGGGGCGCGCGGCCAGCGCGTCGCGCGCGCCCCGCGCGTTGTCAGACGCGCTCTCCGGCATCGTGCCACTCTTCGTTGAGTTGTGTTCTTTGTGCCCGACAGCGCCCTGGGCGGCCGCTGCCTGGGCGGCTGACTTCCTGGGCGAAAACGGCTTCGCGCGAGCCTGCGAATTCGTCAGCGCGGACGCCGCGGACCTCGAAGGGGGGTCAGTCACCGCGCAGGCCATCGTCGAGGTCCTGCATGCGTTATCCAGGGCCGCCAGCCCCAACCTCCAACGCATTTTTTCAAAGCGCCCGATTGAATGGACATTGTGTGCAGGTGTATATATATATATAGATATATCAAACGCGTTGCAATGTATTGAATTTTGGTCAGATGGATTGATATTTGTTGAGGTGTTCCGTTTTTCAATGTTAATGTTGATATGATTTGTTGAGATGTTTGGTGACGGATGTCCGTTTTTGGTTTGTGTTGTTATTTCCCGTTTTCTTTTGGATGATCAAACATTTTGCTGGCCTTTTTTCAAAGGAAGTCTTTTTGCTGGCGATTTACCATTTGATTTCTATATTGTGGATAACACATCGAATTATTGTGTGCGACTGCTCAATCATATTATATTGCAGGGCCAGGTGGCGACGAAGAGGATGAGAGAGAGAGAGAGAGAGAACAAAAACAAAAAAAAAAAAAAAAAACATGACCGAGAGAAGGGACACACACCGAACAATCAAACGCATCCCAACATGTCAACACACAACGAACACGGTCCCTAAATAGTCCTAGATGTCCCCCTTTACGCCCCCTCTCCAGGCCCCCCGTTTTGCCCCCCCCGTCGAATTCGATGTCAGACCCCAGCGGAGGGGGGAAATGGCACCCACTCAGCTCACATGCCCTTGCACCCCCAGCAAGCGGGGGCTAGCGAATTTTTCCAGATATTCCGCGAATCCCCAATTCGTTTCGGAAAAGCCGCGGCGCGCAATTCATCATTTGCACTCCTCTGCTCTCAGATATCCCATGTCGCGCCGAATGGAGGATGCCGCGGGGGTTGGACTTTTTAGACAGCTCAGAAGGCATTTGGCTTCCTGTGAAGCTTTCTAAGCGCTCCCCGAGGCCATGCAGGGTTCCTCGGAAGGCGGGGGGGCTTTTGCAAAGCCCCGCCGCCTTCTGAAAACCCCTGCCCTCTCTCACTTCCCCCTCGGCGCGGCATCGACTTTCGCCGATTTTTGGATGTCCGTGCCCCTTTCTTGCCCGATCTGTTCGCACAGTGGAGACCCATGCCCAACAAACACCCTGCTTGCCTCCAGGGTGCCCTGGGTTTCTTGGGGCCTTGATGGCTATGCCATGGAAAGCGCGACGCCCCCACGCCAAAAATCCATGGAATCCCTGGTGACTCTGGGGTGGGTTTCTTGTGGAAGGTTTCTCGTGGATCGGCCCCCAATGCACCACAGGGCTGAACCTAAACGGCTTGGTGATTTCGTGGGCCGTTTTCGTTTCGGCTTCGTTTTGCGGTAAAGGCGGATTCGAGACAAACGCGAGGGACAAACAAACACAGAACGAAAACGAAAAACACCATTTAGGTTCAGCCCTGTTGTACCATGCCCTCGCCTCACAAGGGTGAGGGGTCGGCGGCGCGCTGAGGGGGATGTGATTTGGGGTTTCTCGGCAGGCGGCGGGGTTTCTTCGTATGAGGATTACAGCAGGTTATCGTCCGGTCGACCAGCGGCGACCCCAGCGCGGGCGTTTTCAGGTTGAACGCCGCCTGTGGCCCAGAATCGGACCACGATCTGGCCTTTTTGAAAGGGCCGATCGCTCAAGTGTGAACGATCCCCGCGGTGTGAGGAACCCACGCTGGGGTCGACACGACGCGGACCTGCCGTAGAAAGCTTTTCAGAAGGCCAGAGGCCTTCTGAAAAGGAGGAGGAGGAGGAGGAGGAGGAGGAGGAGGAGGAGGAGGAAGAGGAGGAGGAGGAGGAGGAGGAGGAGGAGGGGGAGGAGGAGGAGGAGGAGGAGGTGCCTCCTTTGCCTTGCCCCGTGTGCGCGCCGCCGATCTGCTGCCGGATCTTTTTGGGCCTTCGCCTCACGAGGGGGACGGAAAGCATCGCCTGACCGCTCCCCATCCCCACTCGGCCATGTCATGTCAGCCACACTGTCCCATTTTCAGAGGCCAGCAACATATGTACACGTACGCGGTTAGCTTCCCCTGGAGTGCGTGTCAACGCGGACGTTCGTGCAGGCAAGAACGCGGAGGGCGTACATGTACATATGTCGTTGCTCGCCCACATTTCCCAAATGAGGATATGACCCGCGAGACCCGAAGGGAGCACCATACATGCCCATCTAGGTTGGTAAGTCGGCCAGTGGGCCCGGGGCCATGCCAGTAGGAGTGGGGATCGGTCAAACGATGCTCAGAAAGGGGGGGAGGGCCGAGGTCCAGAAGCAGATGCGCCAGCTGAACGAGGCCCTGGAGGAGAACCACGTCGACACCAGGGAGACCTGTGCCCTGCCCGCGCCCGAGCCTCGCACAGATCGCCTCCCCCCTCCCTCTGCCTCTTCCTCCCTCATCTTCCTCCTCGTTCTCCGCCTCCTCCACTGATGACCTTGAACATTGAAATTCTCAACGGTTTCATGAATGGAGGGCGGGCCGTTTTCAAAACGTGGTTCCCGCATTGGCGCCGCACACATAAATCATGTAAGTCTGTAATAGCTTCAAGGACGGAGAGTGGGCCGTCTTCCAAATGTGGTTCTCGCCGAACCGCCGCGCACTCTCGTTTTGAAAATTTGCAACAGCTTCAAGGACGGAGGGCGGTTCTTTTTCAAGATGTGGCTCTCGCCATAGCGCCGCGCGCATTTGTTTTGAAATATTGCAGTGGTCACACAGGCGGAGGGCAGCTGCTTTTCAAACTGTGGCTCTCGCCAGCGCCACGCACTGTCGTTTCAAGCTTTAAACGCATACTCAAGGATTCGGATGTTTGAAGTACTATTCATGGTGTCCTGGGACGATTGAGGATTATCAGGACGCAGCATTCATTTTGATTCGCGGTGTTGAAGTCCCAGGAGTGGTGTTCTGGCACGTCTATGACTGTCAGGGCGCAACAGTCGCGTTGACTCGCGGCGCTCAAATCCCAGGAATTGTTTGTTGGGTTGGAAGTATATTTTAAGGCAGCTGTCTTCCAATGAAGCACTCCCCGTAATGAAGATAAGTATTGACATTTCGCGTATCCCCACCAACTGCTCACTTCGCGCGCTAGGTAATTAGGGTTCGCTCGTAGCCCAGGCTGACTTCGGACGCCGCCTGCGCTCTCGCTTGCGGCCGCGAGAAAAAAGAAACACACCAACCCATCCAGAAACGATGCCCATGAGAGCTGACGGGGGGAGAGAGGAAGAGGCACGCATAGTTAAACAGCGAGGGAGGCTTGGGAGGCTCCGTGGCCATCTCGAGCCGTCTTGGAGCGGTCTTGGGGGCCGTTTGGAGCATCTTGAGAGCCATCTTGAGCCAACTTGGTCTATCTGAGCCATCTTGGAGGTTATCTTGCGCTCTCTGAGGCCGCTCGGGGGCCTCTTGGGGGCCTCTCGGGTGCCTCTTGACTCTTGGAGGCCTCTTGGGGCTTCTTGGGGCGATCTTTGGGCCCTCTTAGGAGCCTCTTGGGAGCCCTGGAGGGCCTCTTGGGGCCATCTTGGAGGCAGTCGGTGAAAAGAGGGGGTTCCCTTATCTCCGTCCCCCCCTCGGGGGCCGCGATCCTCGTGAGGGGTGTCAAAATTTGGCCCTCTCAAGGGCTGAAAAAGGACGCTCTAACTCGTCGCGACCCCCTCCCAAAAACCCTAGGGAGGGGAGGGGGGGTCCCTTCCCCGAAGGGAAGAGGGGCTGTGGAAGAGGAAAGAGACCCTCGTTAGACCACCTGTCGGCCGAAGGGCTGGTGGGATTATTTGCAGGGGTCTGCGAAGAGGGAGCTTGGGGGGAGGGATCATTGCAACATCGTGAGTGCCTTTTGGGATTGCACTGATTATCGTCCTCCTCTCCGTCCTTCCTCCCTCCTCCCTCGTCCTCCTCTTACTCCTCCTTCCCCCTCGTCCTCCTCTCTCGTGCGTTTTCGTCGGATCACGGCGGCTGTCTAGCCTCGGGATGCTCCCCAACCACTGCGCCTCGCCGGGAGCCTTCCAGGGGCGGCAGAGTACGTCCCGAACGGCCGCCAGAGGCCCCAGTTGTGGCCTCCCTCGTATGATTATTATTATTATTATTAATAATATTCCTCCTCTTCTTGCTCCTCCCTCCTACTTGCTCCTCCCTCCTCCTTGCTCCTCTGTTTGCTCTCTCCCTCCCTCCCCTTGCTCCTCCTCCCTCGCCCATTTCGTCTCCTCCCTCCCCCCGTTCCCCGAGATCCGGTGTCTCGGAAAAGTTGCAACATCGCGAGACATCAGGACAGGTCCCTGGACCCCATCTTTCTGCAGCGTTTTTCAAGCCGCATCGATATGTGATGGTCGCAGGGCCCGAAGCTGGGCGGCAACGCCTGTTGTGAAGGCTGCAACGCCCGTCAGGGTTCCTCCCGCCCCGTCAGGACCACGTCGCGAAGGTCTCCAAGGCCGTGAAGGGCGCCCAGAAGGACAACGAGATGACGGGCGCAAAGCTCGAGGACGTCGCGGGGGGGCTCGCCCTGCTCAGGGCGCGCATGGACCTGGCGCTCCCGCAGCTGTTCCGCGGCCTGGACGCCCTAGCCCGTGCCAGGCAGGGGGACGCTAACTGTACCCACTTCTCGTTGAACGTCTGCTCGAGGATCGAGTGCTGCATTTTCCCCACCGGGCGTCTTCGCCCTGTTTACGGGCCCGCGAGGCAGTCACAGATCGATCTGGCTAGAACACTGCCGCAGAAAGACGTGGTCTACGGTCTACGGTAGGTTCGCGTCGTGTCGACCGGCGGCGACCCCGCCGCGGGCGTTCAAGGTTGAACGCCGCCAACGTCCCAGAATCGGCCTATATGGAACGATCGGGCGATCGAAAAGCCGCCGACCGTTCGAGGTTGAACGATCCGCGCGGTGTCGGGAACCAACGCCGGGGGCGACACGACGCGAACCTGCCGTAAGGCTCCGGCCGTGATTTATCGCGATGCTGTTTTGGTTCGCAACGTCGGACCTTAGGGCCTGGTGGTGCCCGTCCTGGGTGTCGGGATCGGTGTGCACGCCCGCCTGGCTTGGCCAGGAGGGCAAGCGCGCACAGTCAGCCACGCGCAGAGGAGGGGAGGTGGATGGGGGAAGGCTTCTCAGAAGCACCCCTGCTTCTGCGCGGGCCTTCTCAGGGGATGTGGGGCCATCGCCCTCCAAGTAGAAGCCTCTTTCCAAGAAGCCTTCCCCCCTCCCCCTGCCCCCTCGTGCGCGCCGCTCGCACACGCATCGACCCCCGGGCCCAGGATTGGACTGCCCAGGAGTGGTGCGCTGGAGCCTCTGGCATCGTGCTTCTGTCGCAGCGTGCGCCCTCGGAGGCCTCCACCCTCCCCGAGACTGGCCTCGCGTGCCGAGGTCTTTCCTCACGGCCCCAGAGCCTGGCAGGGGAGTCCGACAGCGGCCAGAAGCCCGCAGTCGCGAACTTGGTCACGACGCTAAGAGGTGGGCCGTCGAAGGAAGGCAACCCCCAGATTCCAAACTGCATTGGGCGCTCCCCGGTTTCAGGAGTCGAAAGGTCTTCCTTGTCCTTCCAGTGGGCGGGTGAAATTCAGTCTACCTTCGACGCCTTCCTATTTCATTCTCCCCACTTCTTCCCAACGATGGGTCTACTAAGACATCCTCCGATATCTTGTTTGTTCGATCCTCGGCCCCAGAGCTCCCGACCCTTCCCTGGGCTGGGAGGCAGAGATCGAGGAAAAATGCACACATTCGGAAACAGAAACGCACCGATAGTTATTGCTGCTCCTGGGACCTCCCAGGGAGCGATCTGACCAGACTTTGAGGCGAATCCAGCGGTGTCGACGAGGGCCTCCCAGGAGGCCCAAAAAGGCGAAAACGGGTCAAGGACCCTCTCCTCTGGCGCCCTCCGACCAAGGGGCGTCGGCGTGCCCGCCCTGGGCGACGCTGGCGCCGCCGCCGCCCTCCGCGGCGGCGTGGCGGCCGCTGCGGACGCCGCCGCAGGCGCGCCCACGCCTGCGGCCGAGGGCGCCGCCGAGCTCGAGGCCGTGGGAAGCGCCGCGGTGGAGGCCGGCGCCGAGGGGCTGGGCGCCGGCGCCGGCCATGGCGCTGGTTCTGGGGACCGGGAAGCTCAAAGACAACGTTAAGGGGACAGGCTCACGGGGGACAGGCTCATGGGGGGGATGCGACGGCCCCCAATCACCCAGTGATCGTCGAAGGGGGCCCGTCGGGCCGTACGAAAGGGGGGATAGGGAAAGGGGGGGTTACGAAATTTGCTGCATGCAGCTGGTTTCGGCCCCACCGAGGGGCCCATTCCTCGATACATGGCCGCTTCCGGCGCCGGGAGGCGCCAGGAAAATCAGCTACGTGAGCTGATTCTCAAGCCCCCCCTTTGCTATCCCCCCCCTTCGCCCAGCCCGAGCCCGAGAGCCCGCACAGGAGCCCGACAGCCCGCCCAGCCCCTCCCGGGGGTCTGACGCAGGTGTTGGCGCCGGCTCTCGCGGGAGAAGACGTCGGTACGATCGAAACGGGCTCGGAAAGAATGGGGACGAAGACCGACAGCACCCGTAGGCACCCTGTAGCAACGTCATCGGTTTCTGGCCCTTGGGGTTTTCACGACGAGCCGTGCATTCCTCTCTCCCGCCCTCTCGCCGCCGCCGCTGCTGCTGCCGCCCCCGTTTTCTTTTCCTCTCCACTGTGTTGCCGAGTTGAGCGCTAGGGATCGCTAAGGCGGGCCCGTGCCGAAACGAAACGCAACGAAGACCGACAGCAGATTTCGATCACTTTGAAAAGTACCCAGAGTCGGCGTGGCCGCAGACGTGGTCCATTTGAGACAAAAGATGCTGTACTTCCGCCGCCGGCTTGGTGTCCTTTCTGGCGTCGACCCTACCGAAAATCAATCAAATCACGATTTCAAGACAAGTAAATCTAGATTTAATGGTTTTCACGTTTGTGTACAGGTATTGTCACACAAAACATTTAAACCTAGATTTAATTGTTTTGTTTCTTGCTTATCTGCACAAGCAATTAAATATAGATTGCATTGTTTCGACGTTTGGTGAGGCCCTGCAGGGCCGTGGGAGCCATGGAAAGGCTCCAAAAGAGCCGTGGGGTGGCATTGAAGGGAGCCGCGGGGTGGCATTGAAGACAGCCGTGGGGTGGCATTAAAGGGAGCCGTGGAGTGGCACTACAGGGAGCCATGGAGTGGCACTACAGGGGGCCGGGCATTAAAGGGAGCCTCGGCGAGGCACTGAGAGGGCCGCGAAGAAGCACTGAGAGAGCCGTGGAGAGGCTCCGAGAGAGCCGCGGAGTGGTTCTGAGAGAGCCGTGGAGAGGGTCTGAGAGAGCCGCGGGGAGGTTCTGGGAGAGCCATGGATAGTCCTGAGGGAGCCGTGGAGAGGCTTTGAGAGAGAGCCGTGGAGAGGCTCTGAGAGAGCCGTGGAGAGGCTCCGAGAGAGCTGTGGAGAGGCTCTGAGAGAGCCGTGGAGAGGCTCTGCGAGAGCCGTGGAGAGGCTCCGAGAGAGCCGTGGGGAGGCTGTGAGAGCCGTGGATAGTTTCTGGGAGTGCCGTGGATAGTCTCTGAGAGAGCCGTGGATAGTCTCTGAGAGAGCCGTGAATAGTCTCTGAGAGAGCCGCGAATAGTCTGTGAGAGAGCCGTGGAGACGGTTTGAGAGAGACGTGGAAAGGTTCCGTGGGAGCCGCGGGGAGGCTCTGAGAGAGGTGTGGGGAGGTTCCAAGAGAGCCGTGGAGAGGCTCCGAGAGAGCCGCGGGTAGTCTCTCCACGGCTCTCCCTCAGAGGATGCGTCCGACAAGCAAGGCGAAAACGACGACGAGAACGACGACGATGAGTTCAATATTGTTCGGTATTACTTGCCCGCTTGTCCTTCACTGTGTATTCGCCAACCCCTCGATGCCCGTCAACTTGGTCTCGTCTGCTCAGAGGATGCGGGCCCTCGCATTCATGGCGCGCGCGTGGACATATAGCAAGTATGCCGCAAATGCATGGCAACTGGATAGCACTGGGATAATTGAGCTGGGTCGGAATGGTGCCCTCGCCGTCGCGCTGGCCATTGGTTTCGCATCATGCCCCCTTTGTTCTTTTGCCGCAATCGGCCGAGTAGTTGAGCTGATTTGATTGGAACGGTGCTCTGGCCGCCGCGCTGGCTGGCCACCATGGGGTCGCATCATCATCCTTCCTCTCATTGTTCTCCCCTCCCCGCGCCGAGTCCCTTTCTGGGCCACGCCGAAGTGAGCCAGGAACCGTGGCCATGTCGACGCGTGCGTCGTCGTCGTCGAGGGGTCATCGGTATTGTATGCATTCGGCGTTTCAACTCCTGCACGGTTGCCTGATGGCGTTTCGCTTGCGCGCGTTTTCGCTTGCTTGCGCGTTCGCGTTGGAATGGTGCTCTCGCCGTGTCGGCCCACCCTCGGCGGGGCCAGGGCCTCACTGGCCCTGGCCACCTGCGGGATCGCCGTCGGCCGCAGCAGCACCGCGTGTAGGCAGCTGCCTCGGCGGCCTCCCGTGCCTGCTTGATGCGCCCCATCGCCTGCTGGACCTCGGCGTCCGAGGGCGCCGCGGCCGCGGGCGCCACCGGTGCACTCGAGGGCGCGCTACCGCCGCCGCTCGGGCTGCTGCCCTCGCCTGGCGCCGCGTCCTCCACCTCGACCTCCGTCGCCCTCTCTCGTTTCTTGGCCGCCCTCTCCTCGATGGCCTTCATGAGTTCCGTCACCGTCTGGTTCCACCGCGCGATGTCGGCAGACTTGTTCGTCAAAGTCTCCCGAGTCGCCTTCAGGTCCTTCTCGAATTGCCGCAGCGTAACACGCTCAGCCTCATCGCGTTCGATCTCGTCGAGGGAGGAGAAGAAGTTCTCGTCCCACGTGAAACCGATGTTGATGGGAGACTCCTGCACGTTAATTTGTTCGGACTGCAGCACCTTGGAATCGGGTCGAGTGGACGGCCCGACTTCCTGCGCCAGTGCCGCCGCCGCCGCCGTCTTTTCACTGATCTCTGCCAAAGCCATGCTTCTGAGAGCCTCGGTCTCCTTAGCTTCTGCCCGCCCCAAGTTGTCTCGACAACGACAAACAGTAGCCTCGTCGAGCTTCAACGTCGCATCCTTCCATGCGCCCTCGGCGCGGCGCACCGTCTCCGCGGGCGCCAACTGCGCAGGCGCCGACGATCCTTGGGTCCTGGCCGTGGCCTTCTGCGCCCGCTCCTGGAGGATTTTCTTCTGCACTGCGTCCGCGACGAGCTGGCTGGCCTGGCTCACCAGCTTCTCCACGGACGGGGCCTCCGACAACGCGCCCTCGAGCGCCTGCGCGGCGCCCTTGCTGCCAGGCCTGCCCTTGTAGGGCTTCACCTTGGACGAGCACTTCCTGCATCTGCAATCCGCACGAGCAAGCGTGTCGTTCCACTCGTGTGTGCCGCACTTCTTCCGCGCACTCCAGCCGCGGACTGCCGACAGAGGCCAGCCTCTTTTGGCCAGCGGGACTGCTTGCCGATAGTGCCAGGGCAGGGGGCCCAGCTGCTCCTCAAGCACTGCGAGAAAGTGAGAGACCTTGGATCGAGACCGCTGCCAAAATTACGCGCTCGAGCCAAAATGTGCTCGAGAGGAGGAGGAGGAGGCGGAGGAGGATGACGATGCGGAGGTGGAGGAGGATAGTGATAATGTTGCTCTGGGGGGGGGCGCTGGTTATCGCACCCCCGGGGGGGGGGCAGATTGCGAGGATGTCTCGAGTGAGTTGCCTGGTTTGGTGGCCAGATTCATCTGCGTTCAACGCAGATTCTGAGGATGTCTCGGGGGAGGCGTCGGTTTTCGCACCCCAGGTGGTTCAGATTGCGAGTTTGAATTTGGACTCACGTATGCTCAAATTCACTCGTGTTCAGACTCACTCATACTCAGACTCGTATTCATCCTACTCATACTCAGACTCACCCACGCTCAGACTTTCGCAAACTCAGACTCGCTCACACTTAGACCCATCCAACCTCAGACTCACTCGTACCCAGACTCACTCCTACTCAGACCCACCCAGACCCAGACTCATACTCATCCGACTTCTGGTCAGTGTTACTCACTTTCCACGCTCAGGATCACTCGCACTCAGACCCGCCCACCATCATATTCACTCGTAGTCAGACTCACTCGTACTCAGACCCAATCAGGCTCAGACCCGTACTCGGTATATGCATACTCAGACCACTCACATCCAGACTTTCCCACAGTCAGACCCACTCACTCAGACTCATTCGCTTACGCATTCTCAGACCCACTCGTACCTTTTCTCATACCTGGACTAACTGACACTCAGACTCAAACATACGTAAACCCGTTTGTACATCAAGACCGTGTATCATGGAAAATATTTGCCCCTGGACATTCACGGCGGACATGTCCATGCAGATAGATGCACTGATGGGGAGCTCCACGCAGTGAATGGTAACTCTGACCGCGCCGAGAGGGAACCCCTCACACCTCCACCTCTTTTCCCTCACTCAGAGTTTCTTCGATGGTGACGATGGTGATGATGGTGGTGATGATGACGGTGATGATGCTGAACAGGATGGTATTGATGATGATGACGATGCTGATGCCATGAATGATGATGATGATGATGATGATGATGATGATGATGATGATGACGATGATGTTGCTGCTGCTGATGATCGTTCGGATGATGAAATGATGATGATGATGCTGACGATGATGATGATGATGAGGATGAGGATGAGGATGATGGTGATGATGGTGATGGTGATGGTGATGGTGATGGTGACGGTGATGATGATGATGATGATGATGATGATGATGATGATGATGATAATGATGCTGATGATGATGATGATGGTGATGGTGATGTGGCTCGTCTCCAGGTTATGATGATTGTAACGATGATGGTTGAGATGCTGGTGATGATGTTGACGGTGGAGCAAGAACTGAGGATGTCTCGGGCGAAAAGGTAACGACGATGGTGGCGATGAAAACGATGACGGCGGTGATGTGTTCGCGCTGGTAACGATGATGGTGCCCCCGCGTCGGGGCAAGGGTTTCGGAAGGAGTTC